ACTCTGTGTGGCTGCTATCCATCAACTAACTTAAATACTTACAACAAACAAACGGCTCTGAAAAAGGCGAAACCGCCGAAACGTCAGCTATTGTATCTTAATAAATTCTATAATAACAACCTTGTACCTGCTTATTGAAGAAAACATCGAATTATCCAATAAATTCCGAGCTTAACAGAAAGTCGGCCCTGGAAATCTACTTCTAATCTTTAGATGGCCCGGAAAGTATTTCGAACAAATGAGAGGCAATGGGAAAACGACTTGCACCAATCCTCGTAGCTGCGCTTACGTCTAAGTTCGATGCATCAGTAGTAAATTCCCGGCTATTAAATGTTATATAGACGACTGTTTTGTCGTTAACTTTGCGAAAGAGCGGATGAAAACGTGTTCAAAGATGTTGATCGAGCAGTCAGATTATGTAGAATTCACCTGAGAGAAGCCGAAGAAAACTGGCTTTCACTTCTGAACCTTCAAATTAACCTCTCCGTAAACGGCCACGTCATCAAGTGATGGCGAAAACTAAGTACCAAAAACGTACTGGATCACTGCCTTTCTTCTCACCCGTAACACATAGGGCATATGGGAAACATGTTTCGAACAGCCACCTGCGTGTTCGCAAGAAGAGAGCAGAAGAAAGAGTCCTCGAAATTGCCGCAGCAACTAGCCGTTCCCAGTGGCTACAAGGCTGTAGCTCCTCGGGGCAGGTTTGGAAAAGATGTCACGCCTCCAAACGATAATTCTAGAAAGCATAAGATTTCGTTTATACAGCCCTACATTTCCAATAAAATAGATGCAGTTATAAAATGTTACTTAAGAAGGCCTGCTTGGAGAATTCGGCAACAGTAGTTGCTATATTAATAAATAGTCTGAGACACCAGCTAGTTCGTAGCACCTTGTATAACTGTCTATACACAACACAAAATTGCATAATATTCCCTAAATGTAGAGATGGTGACTGCGTCAGTTCACGCATGGTTAACCTGATCGTTGGTTATGCGCGTGGAAACGAACTCATTGGCGAAAGAATTCACTCAGCATACATGTAGAAGAACATCTAATCGGTAAATTCAAAAGCAAGTACTTCATTAGCCTAACAAGACACAAAAGCATAAAGGAAAAGAACTTGAAGTAAAAGTCACTATCCTCGCACAGTAGTCCGAAGCACCACTGTCTAGAACTCTCGAAGCCTTTTGAATAAATCCCGAAAGCCCAAAAACGATCTGCGAGGAGGAGTGCTTTATGATTAAACATAACCTCGCGCAATACCTCAACCTAATTTTCTGATCTGAGCCAGGCATATTCCTAGTCCACTTAACACTCTGTGCTGCCGGTCTTCAGCAAATAACTAGAAGGCTTACAAGTAACAAAGCGGTGAGTGTTTAAAAGAATCTGTTTGTTATTCGAAAAGAAATTTATGTACTAAATTTCTTCTGCCGTGCTTATGAAAGTGCCTGCCTGAATAGAACTCCATGTTATACGTAGGGTCTAGTTTAATCCTTGTAAAAGTCATAGATAAGAAATAATTTATAAGAGTCCGTGTTAACGCGAAAACCTGCACTTGCAGGTTTAACTTCCGAAGTTGCAAAATAATGCAGGAAGCGATCAAAGATCTCATAGAAAGAAGAGCAGAAGTGTTGGCAAAGTAAACCGTAGCTTTATTAACTGCAAGATCAAGACGATTACACCTGACGCTTAGATGGAACAATTATAGAAACCAGAGAGGAAATGGAGGAAATCATCCACGACTATTACTCGAATCTCTTCAATAGTCACGTTCTCGTTTTCTTATTTGAAAAAAAGCAAGGATAGATATATCGCCTGATTAACTGATATAACTGATTGGTCTGGAATTGAACCTTTCAACTAATTAAGAGGCAAAAATTCTAGATTATATCGTTTAAAAGTTTTTCAAAATGGGCGTGATGGTGTGGAGCGATGCAACTTGTGCCGATTTTATGGAAGGCAAAGATGTCTCGCCCTACGCTTTTTAACAAGCGGATTAATTGGCTATACGTTAGCTGTTTACAGCGCTGGACAAGGTAGTCATGGTAAAGCGATCCGAATCGTATTCAGATACTGGACGATAAGATGAAGCTCAACTGCTTTCCTATGGGGAATACAATCCGACGGTGAAACTCGCTTAAGATCGCAACTTTTGATATAACACTAATAATTGTTTTCACTTTTTCAAGTACTTTGTCGTAATAATGCAGGTGAACACTCTAAGTTGGAGATGCTGTGCACGAGATTGGCCATGTTCTCGGACTTTTCCACGTGATGCAACGATCTGATCGTGATAGCTACATTAAAATTAACGAGGATCATTGTGAAAACAGTAGTCGTTGACGTATACTCCAAGACCACTGAAAATGCTTGTTTAGCCAAATGAGCTCGAACGGTTTGCAAAAATGGATGAGAGCGATGCCGCTGTTTATGGACTTGCCTACGACTACGGAAGCGTAATGCACTGTGATGACGAAAGGTTGCACCAAACACAAGAGCTTCTTTGTCGCTTTCGGGACTTTTCTGTATTTCCAAGTTGTTCTACTAACAACAAGCTCACAATGAGTGAACTGGATCCGAGGTACCAAAAGACTATAGGATCTAGACTGATTTCCTTCTCAGATATCTTCGTAATCAACGAACACTACGATTGCAATAGTCGGACATACAACTACTTTAGATTAGGACTCAATAACATTTATTAAACAAACTTAATTCTTTAGCAAAATGCAACAAGTCTACATCCGCCAAATGTACTAACGAGGGCTACCCTCACCCTCGAAACACTTCCACAGGTCTTAACTCTTTTATTTACTGCCTTTTTTTTTCTTCTTAATGGCAGGTTATGTTGCGAAATATAACTCGTATGAAATGCTGAGATATTTGCAAAACTCCCGACCACAGGTGTATGCAGTGGAGAACGAACACGCGCTGTTGTCCTTACCGGGGAGCAGCGCGCTTCACCACTACACCATCCGGGTCCTTCGATTTTCGTGTATTTCAGGTACTGTGTAAGAAAAGATCGATAGAAGTAGCTGAGATACACGC